ACTATTAATGATCGTCCGTTAATGCAAGTCTGCCGATAATTAGAGATTTCATTGCATTGTCTTCGTTGCTTAATACTCGCTAAAAGATGCGTACTTTATGTATAGAATTGTAAGTATGAAATTTATTTTATGAGTGTTTTAACATTTAGCATAAATTTATTTGCATTTGTTTCAGGTTTCAGGTTTCAGTTTTTATGGCAAAACTTGCAATTATTGTACATATGAAGATGCTTTATTATATTAACAAAAATAGCTCACCCGGACTTATCGCTTCGCTTTGTTGCAGTGAATTTATGCAAAGCGGACATGCTAGCAACTTGTATCTTTCATCTGAAACAAATGACAATTTCCTGGTGCATGTGAACGAAATTGTTTACACTCATCACTACAAAAACGTTTTCATAGATAAGCTTGTTGAATATTTACAATTATGCAAAATACTTAAAAAAATAATTTATTTAATTAGTAACCTCAGTCAAGTTCAATTTACACAAATCGCTTTTTAATTCTTTAATGTGCAAAATGTGATTGAGTTCGATTTAATTAATTGGCTTTTAATTAAAACCTACTCATTAGTTAAAAGAAAATAAATTATGGTATATAATTTTTGTCTTTTAAAATAAATTCCAAAATTATGATATAAGTGTTTGGAATTTCAACTTTTATTGCTAATTAATAAATATTGTAGGTTTTAGGAGGAATTTGTGTCTAACAAATGTACATCACTAAAAGTTCTGAGTTTTTGGTTAGACAAGAAAATTTTGAATAAAATATTTAGAGACTACGACCGCTTTGATTTCATTGATTTAATTTATTAATGAACGATTAGTTTTTTAAATTTAATTAATTTAAAAAAAAAATCAGGAGAAAAGAAAAAATATACAAATTTTGATATCGAATTTGTTTAAAAATAGATCAAATGGATTTTCGTATTCATAATATAATAAACCTTTTAATATATATAATAGTTAGATTATTAAAATTAATTTCCCTCTTAATTGCTTTATTATAGAAATAAATTACTTGTTTAATTTTTTTAATTAAATTCAAAATCAATATTATACATTTGCTGGTGCATACGGACTACGAATAAAACTGTTCAAAGCTGTCGATGATAAGCTGCTACAGGGAGCATATATTAGCACATCTTCAAAATATGGCTAGATAAAAGTATACCCAGTTAATTTTATCATGACCCACGCCAGCTTACCAACGCATATGCAAACTCTTCATTTGTCGTTTAAAATCTGTTTGTTCCATTACTCACCAGATGTTCATACTGCACTTGATATTGTAAAAAACAAATGAAAATAGTTTATATCCTGATCATCTTTCTGTTGCTTATAAATCTGCATTCGATATCACCACTAGTGATCGTACCAACTCCGCACTTTTCGAATTCGGAGTCTTTGCAAAGTTCATAACTTTCAGCTGGATGCTATCGAAAAGTACTACGCCAATAGAAAGATTTGTCACTTGGACAATTTTATTAATGACGTTTTTGTTATGAAACTATAAAGAATTTGATCCATATTAGTACTTCATTTACAACAATATATTAACTATCGTAAGGTTTGATAATGAATTGTACAGGTAATTAAGGGCTCAATATGCAGAGATCTCGCTACACCATCAAAATTTTATGCTTCATGTACATTTATACACATAGGTATATACAAATATTCCATATTATAGAATTTTTGTTCTGACTAAAGTTTTTCTAGCATAATGTTTTGGAATATCATAGAGACAAAATCATATACATATAAGTCATCCCCTGCAAAAAGAGAAATTTTACAAGTCTCGGATTAAGATCTGATGCCTTTTAAACCTCTGAGAGAGTTGTATTACATCCATACCGTGAGTACCTTCTTCTGAAAGAGAATATTTCAGGTATGGGCCCATCAACATTGTCTGTTATTTTCTTGTGAAACCTAATGTTGTGGACCAAAATTCTAATGGAATTGACAAGCTTTTAATTTTAATTGAGTAATTAAATATGAAGTTCTATGAATATTTTGAATATTAAATATACATATATAAGATTTACTTTTTGGTTTATGCTTAAAGAATATATAATATAATTCTTATTTAGTTAAAATAATAGTTTCGGTTTATACCTAACATGAAACTAATAATATACAGTCTATCATTTTAATGTATAATATCCTATAAACTCTTTATCTACAATTATCTTATCTGCTCCTTTTAGCTTAAGCATGTTCGAAAATTATTGAATAGCTTATAGGTCGAAAATAATAAACACCAAAATCTTTTAATTTTAATGGTATCAGCTCACTTATGCGATCTTTAAGGAGCGATTTAATTGATTTATGCTTGATTTATTAAGTGCTATCATGTCTATTATGTTATATTATTACATCATATATGCTGAGTTATTTAAAACATAATATTTCTGTTGAAATTCTATTCTCTTTATTTATACCATTCTTGCTATTTTTTTAATGCAGAATCTTCTTTTGTATTCCCGAAAAACTATTCACAGGTTATAGGTCGAACACATAATCGAATTTATTTAATTTTAATAGCAACGGCTTATTTCCCTATAACTTTACTTTAAGGAGTTAAATGCACTTTTTAAAAAAAATATATAGTGCTATATTGTGTAATATCTTGTATATACTGAATTATTACCAATATAATTCTTCTTAAGTTCAAATTATATGCATGATGTATACAACTCCTGCATTCTGTTACATGTTGCTAACTATTTTAATATAAATATCCTATTTAGCTGCATTATCACTCCTAACTTGTTTGCTTTGTTGCCGGACCCATAATTTAAGGGGCCGAATTGATTTATAAGTGCTGTTTTTGTTTATATTTATGGTTAAAAATTTATGCAAGCTGTCATACGTGCTGAGTTGGTTACAATATAATATTTGTCCAGTTAAAATTATGTTTTCGGTGTGTACTCTTCGTGCAGTTCTTAGTAAGCTATGTAAAATATTAAGATAGAGTATCTCATACACTCTTTCACTACATCTACTTTATTTTGTCTATTACGGATGGAGTGCTGTCGTAAAATATTTTATTAATATCATGTCCAATAGAATGCGATCAATATTCTGGTTGATATAAATTTTCAATTTAACTTTTATTTTTGATATTTAAGCTGTTTTGTTATCAATTAAAATTTTCAGTGTATTGAATCGGTTTACAACGAATCCACAAGTAGAACATGATTCTTTCGTTAACCCAATTCTAAGTGAGTTGTTGCTTCAGCGCAGCCCTTATCATCTTCTATGTGAAATTTTCTTTTTTTAGATGAAGAATCTTTCAGTTTATTTATGTATTTTATTTAGAAAATCTGCTGCTTCATTATATATGCCTTTAACGTATATATGTCTTTAATTTTGAAATCTTAGAATTTTTAAAGTTTTTTTTTCAGTGTTTTTTAATTTTCAAATTTCGATTTTCAAAATTATAATATTATTTCCATATGAAAAATAATTATTTTTATTTTTTGTCGAATGCTTCTCGGGAAATTATGCAAAAATGGAAAAATATTAAAACAATGATGGGCATTGTGCATAATAATTATGCAGCCTATATATATACTTTAACCCTATATTGCTAACTGGTTTATTAAGTTATTTCAACCACCCTGTAATACTTTTGTATAAATCATCCTAAAACTATGCACCATTTTTAAAAATATCATTCACTTACCACAAGTTCGTTTCTTAAGTTTTTTGTTAATTTTGGTACATTTCTATGGACAAAAAAGGACCAAAGGCGAACATGACATTATAGTTTGCCACTAACTTACTCTTACATACCTTATCTATATTACTCTTAAATAATTAAGTAAACAGAAAAGATAAATGGGATTAATATCAAACAAATTCAACTTATTTAGCCAGAAAGTATAAAATATATATTTAAAATAGTGAAAAATTGAGTAGTATTTAAAGAGGGTAGTGTTTATGATTAGAATTTATTATATATGCTAGGTTCAGGATCTTAATGACTACGGCTGTGGAGTGAATTTTAAGCAAGCAAAAGCAATGTTAATTTAGAAAAATATATGTGGTTTAAATATGAAAAATAAATACAAGCAAAAGCAATGTTAATTTAGAAAAATATATGTGGTTTAAATATGAAAAATAAATACATTACTTCTGATTATAATGTTTCTATCTAAGAATGCAATATGAATGATATATACTACAGATATTAATAGTAATATTTTTTGGTCTTTTACAATAACCATGTTAAACTATTTTAGGATCTTCCATAATTTTGACTGTCTGTTATTTCGTATTGTTTCCTTCACTCATTTGAGTGGCTAAAATTACGTATCTTTCTATGCTGTTTCCATCAGGTTGGATGCAATAAATCATATTTCTTGGTATTTAATATAAAATTGAGAGATGCTTTAGTTTCACGAAGTGAATTTTGACATTTTTGTGATATGTGAATGTTAGTAAATTTTTCTGGTAGAAAGGTGAAAACTGTATTGACATTAATACTGGAAAACTATTTCATCCTACCGAAAATTTTTATATTTTAGTAGAGAATATTCCTTTAATGCCTTAGAACAATAGAAGACACAATATAACCGTATACTAACTTTAAGATCTTGTCTTTTCATTTATTTCCAATAATCTTTTTGGCTAATTAATGCTAACTACAGCAATCCCTTTGGCTTGCTATTATTGATATCAAGGCAATCTAAATTTGACTTTTTAGGTTTACCAATGATTTGGACACTTTAATATATGAATTTATATTCAAATAAATTTTTTTTAACAATAACACTATCACTTCGAATAATGAATCAAGTGCAGTGGCTCTGAATTATTTGGAGTTCAACATCATATTTTTTTAATTTTTTAATTTAATAGTTTAAATGAATCAACTTTACATTTCTTTCTGTTCTTTAAAATGCCTTAAATTCCAAACCGTAATTCTTGTAATGAAACACCATATATTTTAGTATAAAAATCTTTTTTTATATTTGGATTTGAATTTTTACTTAAACTAAATAACAATTTGTTGACAATTCACAATTAACAACAAACGTCAACTGTGGCCAGTAACAAGTTACAAATAAGCGGGACTAGGATAAGGATGGAAGGGGCAATCACTTGGGGAAATTTGGGATATTGTGAAAGGAGAATTGTACAGGATTTTGCGCACTTAGTAGCTTAAAGAGAATTTAAGCTTCTGGGGCAACTGGCAAATGAGCGCCTTGTGGTTGGAAACCGTTTTCATCAGCAACATAGGTGACGGTGTAGGTTACGCCATCATCACCAACGAAACTGTATTTGCCTTGTACACTGATGGCTTCGTTTTCGCTTCCAATGTTCTTGAGTTGACCTTGTGCATTAGCAGAAACACCATCGCTGGTTTCGTAACTGTAATTAGAGAATAATTATTAGCACTTAAGGTTGATAAATCCATTTCAGCAGAGTTTGTTTACTTACACATAGTTGAAGGATTCGGGTCCAACTTCGGATTCTGAGCGCAAGATTGTGGCTTCCTCTGGACGAGGAGCAGCCAAAGCGACAGCGAAGAGAGCGGCGAAAACAATGACGAATTTCATTTTGTAAGTTTTGATTTGTTGCGTGGCTCACGTTGGGAGTAGCAAATTGTGAATGATACGAACTTTGGGAGTTTGTTACAATTTATAGCTAAAAAAGACAAAAAAAATTTAATCAAAAAACAATACAAAAAATTAACACAATCTTAACCCTACCACTAAAGTTAATAAGAATTTAATGAAATAAGAAAAAAAAGCTACTAAAGGCACTAAAGCCATAAAGTATCAGACGTGTAAACTCGAAAAAAGTCGAAAGATACAAAAACAAAGAAACTATAAAAATGCGTGCGAAAAGTACTAAAATAAAGCAAGAAGCACTACTGGTCTGCTAGCAAAAAGTAAAAAATAAAAAAAAAAATGCTAATAAAAGTTAATAAAATTAAAAAATAAATTTGGCAAAAACTATTTTTTGTTATTTTTTTTTCAATAAAAATGAAATGAAATTACTAACAACAACACATAATGAGTATGTAAATTTCTGTGATAAATTCTGTTGAGACAAACTGACTAATTTACATTGTCGTGGCCGCATAAATTATGCAGGCGACCGAGTATTTTACAGAAATGGACGACATTGGATGTCTTCAATACAATGTTAACCACATTGTGCTCTGCTTCTTAAGCTCAGCTTAGTTCATCTGATCGGCCTAAGCTAACAAACGCAGAATCAAAAATTCAATATCAAAGCAATATTCAATAGTTATGTGCCTTTGACAGACATTGGCCACAGATGGAAACATGAAGATGTCTTAGAATTCATTAATCGAATTAGCATAGAAACTGCCTCGAAAAAATAAATTAAAAACAAATGATAGTAAAACCAATATTGGTTATAATCCAACTGACGTAGATCACCTTAAAGCTAAGCGAAGAGACTCTGCTCAGGTTTCGACGTGTAAAGCTAATAATGATGTTTGTATAGCTCAGATCGCGGCTGTGACTGATAATAATGATAAACATGTCACACTGCCTTAAAACACTAAAATATTGTTAATATTCAATATTATTTGTTTTTGTGTTTATAAAAAACAAGTTTCATTAAAGATTTGTTTGAAAATCTCTTGTGTTTCTTTTAGTTAGTAACTAAGTTTGAAAATAAGCTTAAGCCGCGGATAATACAAATGCGTCTTTGGGTGAATCCGTACTAATTCAATTAAAATACTCTCAATTTTCAAGAAAACCCCCATTAGTCGTAGTTTAGATTAGACTATATTCAATGATGTATCTATAACAGATACTACATAGACCACTTATAGGTCCGTTGCGTTTCTATAGCGCTTTTGATTAGATAAATATTTAGTACTGTTATAATTATAATCTTATTTAAACAGTAGATTCTTAAAAATTAGTGTCAGACTTAATGTTTGGTTGGTACAAACCAGGATTTAGTCTCTGAGTACCGATTTATGTCACTTCGTCGCTACTAACTGCATAATTGATTGGTCGTATAAACAGCTTGATTAAATCCAGAAATTTATTTAGTGCAGTTTAAGAACTGCAGTAAATCATTAATATAAGTTTTTGCCAGCTCTATGACATTATTGAAAAGCGGTTTATGAAAGGTGATTATTTTTTGTTTTCATAGAGATAATAAAAAATACTTATTCCCATTCACTGGTTTGCAACTGTAAAATTTAATATTTAGCCAGTCTCCATTTTAACCGTCTGCTCTCATCAGTGACAATGCCCACTTTGTATTGTATTTAAGTCATAATGCTCTACTCATGCTATAGGTATAACTGTATGTTCCATATACAGTTTGAAGTTTGAAAATATTTGATTTATTAGCTCTTTTAGCTACAGACAGTGGCGCGAAAATTTCTTAACAGATGATATTAGTAAATTCTGATATGCCTAGACTTAGAACAGAGACGCATTAGCCTCTTTGTTTAATGTTGTTAGATTCCTTTTGCAATGCTTCACTATACAGAAAACTGTGATAATTGCGCAATATTACTGTGATATTGTGATAATTGCGTAGAGCAATGTTATATTTGAATGAGTTGCCTGCAATTCTGCGGTACCCAACCGCCTTACAAATTACGAATACTTCCACTTAGAAAACGATGGACAACTACGTGAACATGGAACCTAGAACTGAACTGTTTCAATAAAATCGTGAAATGTAAGATAATATAATAATAAATGGGATGGATGTTTAAATGAGACTATGAAACAATATTAATTACATGGTATTTAAATCCAAAATAATGAAATAAAAAGCTTATTAAATAAATAAATTAATACATTTGGGAACAAATCAATTTTTAAAAATACTTTGGTTAAAAGAATTTGAGGCTGTTAGTAGGTTATTTGTCTGGCCACCATGGACTTCGTTACCACCTTAACAAGATGGGTACGCCTACAGAGACAGAATGTTGACTATATATTAGACGCAGATGAGACCTGACTAAATGTCTCATTGTTTATAACTGCTCGACTTCAATTTTGGTCTGGAGAAGATAGGTATAGATTAGAGTATTTTGTAATCTGAACTATATTTGAAACGCTAAATATTTTCTGTCTAGTCAGATGGCCCCATAAATTATATCGATTTATATTCTTCATTCTACTTTAATATATGAACTGTTCTAAAACTGTACTGTTTATCTAACCGTACTCATACCCTTATAGTTCACATAAAGCAAATATTTTAAATTTTTTACCAACAGACATTGTATTCATTCAACATGTATATGTATATCGGTATATGTTTTAATTTAATTCTCATATAATTTTAAACATATTTGTTTTTTTTTTATTTTAAATTTCTGTTAAAAATTAATTATCGTCCGAGAAAAAATTAAAACAGCGTGTCTGTATGTTAATACTGCTAAGATGACCTTCAAAATACATCTTCGAATAAAATTTTAAACAAATCTTTATATGTTGGTATCGCCGAAGATATTGTTAACTATTGTTGTTTTTGTTTTTGTTGTTATCAGTATAAACAATTTGAGATAGTTGGTTGGCGTGTGTGTTGGTGTGTGTGTTTGTGCAGCATCAATACGAAACATTTGCGCTGAGCACGTTTACATATTCCGCGATCGAGAAGGAGAGTTGCTATAGGAGGCGCAGAGATACATCTTTTGGATATGTACGAAAATGTGTTAAACAAGCCGACTACAAATTGTATCTAAAGTAATTTTAATAAAGAAAATATTAAATTTCAAATTTCAAATATTATTAATTAAAATATATAATACAAGCAGGCAGGCAGGCAGGCAAGTAGACTGGTCCGGAGGTAGAGAGGCAAGTATCTTAAAGGTATGACGTCGTTACATTAACATATTTCTCAGTTCCAAATTTTATATAATAATTTGCAAAAATTTAAATGAAACACAAAATTGATGCGAAGGTTAAAACTTATTTTTGTATTAACAATATTTGGTTGTGCGAAATAAAAATTAAAAATAAATACATTATGAAGATAAAAAAAAAAGAAAATAAATAATTAATTTGCAAATTTTTAATCAGCTGGAATTTTTCATGGTTTATTGGTGCGGCATGCATTCAACGGTGGCACAATTTTTTTAAAATAAATTATTTATTTTTATTATTTATTATTTGTTAATTGCTTATAACGCTTATATTGCTTTTATTAAAGTATTTTGCATGCATATTCAATGATTATTTCCAGCAGCTATAAATTGGGAAATATCTGCAAGCGTTTGCACACCTCAACAGCGATTTCATTGATGTGCTGTGTTTGATTAGTCCGATCCTTTGATTAAAAGTTTGTAAATAACAAACAGTTTCGATTTAAGATACGTGGAATGATAATAACTTTTGTAAGATGTTTTAATTTGCCTTAGATATGTAGATAAATAAAGTATAGTAACATTTTGGTGTATACGTTTTTCCCCGAAGTCAGCAAGTCTAATAAATAGATAAGTAGACTGATAGATATACTGATAGATATACAGATAGATGACCATGGTTTCACTTAGAAGAAAAATGTAGTGATGCAACAGCAAGGATGAAACGAAGGCTTAAGGCTTTAGGACTGGAGCCAGTGGTTGATAAGCACAAAAAAGCAAAAAAAAAGATGCAGCAAAATACCTTAGAGTCATAATCTATATAAGTCTGAGCTTCAAACCTCACAATAATAAGCTGAAGGCGGTAGTGGTGAATAGTGTATTTATGCGAAACCGTTTCAACATAGATAGCACTCTGAGTGAGAAAGGCGTCTTCTGTGGATGGCAGTATCGATAAAGCCCCAGATACGACTAGTGGCTAGATAGATACAGCTGGATTGATAGATAGATATATAAATAGAAAGATAGATATATAGATAGATAATTTTTTCTTTATTTTCTCGGTGTTAATCACGCTTCGAATCACCTTTAATCACCTTTATTTAAAGGGGTCACAATTTGTTGAACATACATTGTATTAATGAGTAGGAATTATAAAAATTAAAAATTTTCGAATTTGTAGCAGTAGAAGTAAATTATAATAGAAAAGTTTAAGAAACTGATATTTGATTTATATAAAAACAGCCACTTAAGGTTTTCATTGCGATTAGAATCCCATTTGGAATAATTTCGTTTAACCGTTTATTACAGGGACGTGTCAAATGCTCATTTCTTGGACTGCATAAATATGTATTGACATATATTAGATTTAAAATGTATGCATGTATGTGAATTTGCTTTAAACATATTTAGAGAGACAATTTAGAGACCCAATTGGTTTGTGATGGATGTTATTAATTTGCATACAAAAACAAAATTACATATTATTTTATATTGAAATAAATTAAAGTTAATGCCGCATTATATACACATTTTCAAAATGAGTGATATTTCGATTTTTTGTAATAATATAGTGCTAGATGGAATGTATTATAAGCTTAAAATAACAACAAGAAAAGTGTAGTGAAATACTGTTTTTACTTCAATTTATACAGTTTCTTATTGTGTTTAAAATATTGTTCACACTTAAGTTATTAACTTCAAAGTTCAAAAAAAAAAGTTCATATTATGTTTTAAAAATTTAAAAAGCATAAAATGTATGCAGTTTAAGGTCTTAGAACCAAAATACATCCAAGACTCAAATATTGTATTAATTTTAAATGTGTAACTTTGAGTTTGTAAGTTTAATTTAAATGTCATATATGTATGTATATATATATATATGTATATTCACTTATCTTCTCTTTTAGTATAAAATAGAGAAATACTCTTCCAGCAATAACTTTCCATTTTATTTCATTCTACCAAAAATTCAAAAAAAAACACAAAATAAAATAAAATAAATAAATTTCAATTTAAAATACAAAATGTTAATTATTTTTTTTATTTAGAATTTGTTTTTTTATCTTTTATTGTCTTTGAAAAATTTATATAACACAGGTACGATAACTTTTGATTTTATTTGGTTCTAAAACTTATATATGTATATCGTACGAGTAGACTAGTCTTCACTGAAACGTGTAAAACAAGTTTAGAATTCCATCTTCTCTATTATATATATTTTATTATCGTGGCTATCATAAAGTATGCAAATTTGAATGGAATCTGACCATAAACTGGTAACTTTGTCTAAAATTATATTAAATCTTTAAAGCAGACACACACTCTCACTTCCACAAATATTTTAGATTATCTGATAAAATTATTTGTATTAAACAATGTTTATGTTAAACTAATATTAGCCTTTGTTAGGTTCGAGAACATACTAAATTCATTTCAAATCTATTTACTAATAATAAAATATTTAAGACCTTTTGTTATTTTTTTAAAATTGTATTTATTTTGGGCACTTAATCTATTGTTTATGCATTAATACGAATTTATACGGAACTCGATTTAAACAGAGTTTATGAGCAAAACCGACGCTCGTAAGCTTTAAATCTACATAAATCCAAATAGTTAAAAAAAATTTAAATAATTTTGTATATAATTTTTTAATATATAAAAATTAAAATAATTTTGTTTTTCTTATTTTTGGGTACTTTTTGCAATTCTTAGTATTTTTAAATTAAATTAATGAATTAATTTCGCAAAAATTATTTTTAACAGTTATGACTTGCAAATTTATAGTTTTATTCTATAATAAATTTAGCATAGAAATTTCTAAGAATTTATTGAAATAGAATTTAATTATTACCTTCATGTTTTAACATATTTAAAATTATTATTTAATTATTTGCAAAAATATGTTTTAATTAAGCCTTTATAAAATAATATTTTATTCATTTTTTAATAATTTTAGTTCTGTTGCATTATTTTAACGTTAGATTAGGTTAGAACGTTAGCCTGATCCTCGAATTCCAAATTTGGCTGCCCAAATGGTGATCCCAATTGAATTCCTACAACATCATTCGTTTTTGAACCACTATGTTGCACGAAAAATTGTACAAACCTTTGTATTGAAATGCTGGCAATATATAAGCTATATTTTCTAACAGATAATAACGCTGACATTGTTTATTTTTGTTTTTTGTTAGTCAGGAACAAAGAAGATATTTGATAGTTCTTCATCCCTTCTTCACACTGCAATTTCAGCAGTACTTATTCGGTGTGATAATATTTATTTTTATTGGATCGTCTTCAATATGATGACATTAATCAAATTGATGTTATTGGACAGTTTGAAAATTTATCTTTCCGCTTTAAGCGAAGGTTCTGTGGTCTGTCTATGTCCCACTTTGGCTAAATGATCGTATTTCTAAACACATTTCTTAATATTTCATAAAATTCTTCACATATTTCTTTACATATTTCTGTAAGTGCACTAATCTATTCCTTTTGCTGGAAGCTGTTATATAGTAGTACCTTTCTTGGAGAGCTCATCGGTTTTCCTCTAAATCGCTGTGTTTAGGCATATAAATAATATATATTGTAAAATATTATTTAATTATTTATTATTATTATTTTATTATTTAAGATAATAATATAAGTGCTCAGATTGCCTAAAAAGTATTGTTCAGCTAAACCTTGAAAAACAAAGCACCAAGAATGCATCATTAACATAGGTGTCTTCACGATTTCGAGCAAGAAGTTCTCTAATTGAGTAATATTTTAAACTGTCAAATATAAATATGCTCGAAATGCCGCTTGCTTACTGAAGATTATATGTATAAAAAATTTAATAATACTGGAAATATTGCATGGATTATTAAACTTAAACTTAAGAACTATTTCTTCCTCTCATTTTAGCTGATTAGTAATTAATTCAGTAATTGTAAAGAGTTCGTGTAAGTGCAGATGATGAAGTCATTAATGGTTTGATCTCAAATCAAGACTTAAATGTGTATTGTATTACAGAGCTGGTGATCTGAGTGTTTTATTCCTACAATGTTGTACAAGGTATAAATATGGATTTAGATATATGATAAAAATTGTTCTATCCATAAAATCCCTTTAATAAATCAACTTAGATATTCTTCAACCAACTAATTTAGTAATATAATTTCATATATTGCTAGATACAATCAATATTGTGTGGCTATAATATTTGTTTCTTTCATCCACTTAAATAAAATTGTTATTATGTGACTTCTAAAGCAAACAAAAAAAACAAAATGTAATTAAAAAAAAACACAAACTAGAATCTGGAAAGATTTAGAAAACATTGATAGGAATGATGTCATTTAAGATAAAATTCAAATAATAATTTATTACCATTAAGTAAGCAAAATTTTTTAGAATGCACATTTAAACTATAAATTTATTAACAAAAGCGTTTCTTTTTGACTTAATATTATTTACAATATTTTCATTTAAATTTCATTAATATAAACATTCTCAATTGCTTTTAAGCGACTAGTTTGAAGGATGGATGGTAGCCAGTTTCATCGGCATTGAATACAATTTCGTATTTCTTGCCATTTGGAGCTGTCCATTGAGTGCTACCTTTTACAACTATGGCGGCACCATCCTCAATGGTTTTCAGTTCACCTTCTTCAGTGCGTGAGATGCCATTACTGGTGTCATAACTGTAAAGGAAAGTCAACATTAAAACAAATCACTTTTATTTCAAAATTCTTAAAAAAGATATATTCCAAGGATTTTCTATTGAAATTCGTAAGCATTTGTATTTCGTATTTTTAGTGCAGTTAGCTGGCACTTTAAATTTTTTTACTCTATTTTTAAAATTCTTTTTATGGAGTCTAAATTTTGTGTTATAGTTTACTAGTGTAATATATATACTTACGAGAATGAGTATTTGTCCACACCATTGTTCTCACTTTCCAAACGTAATGTCTCGGCTTGTGTATCGTCCTCTGGCGCTGGCATGGCTAAGCAGGCTACAGCGAAGAAGGCAATCAAAATAATTTGGTATTTCATTTTTTTCACTTGTTTGGTTTTGAATTTTGCCAGATAAACTGTAATGTAATCCTTTGCGCTTGTTTTCCAAGTCGTTGCACTTGACTGAGTATTGCTTGGAATGTGTTGCTATTTATACCGAAAAATCTCAAAGTATAAATACACAAATATTTACAGCTAGCGTTATATGACCAATTTCAAAAGATGTCCTCATCAACAAAAAATGCAGCGATTCATGCAAAAACTCTTAAATTAAACATTAACACCATTTTTTTTTTTAAATCGTATATATAATTTTTATTTTTTATATTTTTATATTTTTCTCAATGTTTTTTGTTATTATTTTTATATTATTTTTAATTTGTAGTATTCATTACTATAAATTTTAATTGCACGTTTCTGCAACAAAATATTTTATTACGCTACGCCTCTCCTCGAATTCCGCACTGCAGTGTCAAAATTACTAATTATATCTTAATTATTTTCATTAATTTAATATTAATTGTGAGTGAAATATTGAAGTGACAATTTTACAATGAAACAAAATTAAAACGATGCCTGCCAACCACAAAAGAACAGACGTGGCTAAAACAAGTTTACGGCCAATTTAGCATGTGACATAACATTAATAATCACATCTGTGACCGCCTGCCTGCCTACCTGCCGGTACCAATTCGCATTGAACGGCGCCAGGTTAATAATGTATGGAATGTTTGGATTGGAATTCCAAGTCAAAACACAAACGAATTCAACTCTGAGAAGACATTGAAACTTATTCAGAAAACATAATTTTCGTAGAAGGATTTTACCGACTCTGTGTAATCAATACCAAGGATTAACAACACCGGTATCATAAAAATATTTCTGCCTTCTGAGATATATAAATCGTAAAGTAAATATGTGTAAAGTGAACTGTTAAAGTTACATAGTTTTATTAATTTAAAAAAATTGAAGGAACTCCTGTAATCTATTAGGAAATAAATTGGAAAAATAAGAATTGCTACGGTAGTATAAAAAAATTTAGAAAAAAAATATTGCTTCTTTTTTACAGCAATAGAGCTTGAAAATGAGAAGTACTGATTTGTTTATACAGGTAGAGGCATGCTTTTTGTGATAATATCTGGACGATTTCTTAGAACCCGTTTCAATCTGTCTCTTCATCAATAGAAGAATTGAAACACGTTGTGTAAGGAGTTCTTATAGTTCAGCTTATGATTGAATATTACTGATGAAGAATAGTTTCAGTTTGATACTATTATTACCATTATTATTTGGCAAGTAGCAAAGGTTGAACTCGACATCAAGCGCAATTTAGTATTCTTTAAAACGTTTCGATTTAATGCAATAGTTTCTTTTAAGTAAAATAGTCACTATCGTCATAGCCGATATTAAAATTAAACTTAATACAAAATATATTTTAAAATAGTTTTTACCAAAAAAAAAAACGATATCTATTATTAGCACTGCAAATATTTTGATATTAGTCAATAGTTTGCATAGTTTGAACTACTAAGAATCTAAACTCTAAATCACCTTAATGATCAGCTCAAAACTGTATTAATTATTGTTAATTTTTTAGTAAAAAATTCTTTAATTATAATTTATATTAAGAGTTATATTAGATACACAGCACTAAAAACATCAAAAAAATATTTCAATTAACAAATTTAATAAAAATATTAAGATTTGTACATCATCAGATCCATTTAGCTAAATTATAGGTATATAATTCTTTTAAGATTTAAAAAAAAAATTTTTTTGTCTTTATGTATTATTATACCACGACGCCTCTTTTTCTTAGACTGCAGTTCTTCCTTTATTTTCCCAACTAATTTTAACCGATTTTTTCGCCGTTTCTACTTACTGCTTCAGCCAGACTCGATTAATGTAAAAAACAGACATCACAGTACGAATATAACTTTTATAAGTCGTTGCACAATGAATGCAACTGAGCTGTTTATATATTTGTAATTAGCAATAAATAATTTTAATTAATTTAGTAACTCACATACGTAAGGCAAAAATTATTTTCAATGCACATAAACTTTGTAATAAATAACAACGTCAATAAATATTCCTCTATTAACTAAACAAATCATTGGCTATTAACAATATTAACTCAGTTCAAGTCGAAATGCATTTGCCATTCTCAAAGCTAACACATCTTCATAAACAATTAATAGTTTTATTAAAATGCAAAATATAATTAAATTTGTTAGAGTTCACTACAAAATTAAGTGGTTACACCTTTGAGTTATTTTACTGCTTAATCCATTCATATCTACGGGAGCTTCCACTAATGGTGAAGAGCAATCATATACAGATGGTGTGCTCAATTTTATTCCATATAGTGTGTATTGTATTAGCTGATATTCGTAAGTATCCACAGTTTTTTGGTACCAAAAAAAAATGTTCCTTATTGAAAATCGTTAACTCCTCCTAAATAAAACTCCACCAAATACTTAATATATAAACACTTAGAAGTTTAATACCACCTTAACAATTTTCAATTCTCAAAAAGTTCTGCTCAAAAAATATTCGGATTTTATAAATAAAACACAAATTTAAATTTTATTTATATATTTTATAATAATTTGCATTATTTTATCTCCTTTAAAATATGCTCCTTCTGAAGCGATAGACATATACTAACGCTTAACCCAATCGTCCATACACTTTTCGTAGGCCCGTGCAGGTATGGCTTTTAGTTCCTTCTGCGAAGTCTCTTTTACCGATTCAATCGACTCAAAACGCTTACCACGAAGGGGCAATTTCAGTTTCGGGAACAGAAAAAGACTTTTAGAAAAATGTATTTTGAATATTCCTTACAGACTAATGGCGTTATAGTATGAAATGTAATAAATATCTGTTACCGAAGATCATTTTCATATATCAATGTTCGTTACTTACCCCTTAACTATTACAATACTATATATTTTAACTTTTACTGATACGTTTCTATATATATATCATATTTCTAAATAAGAAAAGAGTTTAAACTCTCATTTCTCAATATCAAAAACAACTTACGCTATTTTTTTTAGCACATTCTTAAAAAAGAATCCCATGACTTGTTAAAATTGAAGTTCGGATACTTGCAACTGATAGATACAAATGAATTAATACGTAGAATTATACATTGTTCTACACTATAGTGCGGAAGCTGTAATAATATATTTGTGTACATTATTCAATAACTGATTTACTGAATCAATTTCTTTTCATGATTAATTTATTTTATAATATAGTGCATAATTTGTATTTGTATCTATCAGAACAAACAATTGTTTTTGGTTTTATAGTATAAGTGTTTGCTATTAAATAAAAGAGTTTTTTATTCGTTTTGTTTTATATTTTAAAAATTTTAATACTGCTCCTAAGTGCTAGTGCTTAAATTACTGTGAAATAGCATTGTTTGATTTAATTATGAGGTAAATGATCGCCTTGTGGCTGGAATCCATTTTCATCGGCAATGTAATTCAATGTGTAAGTTTGACCATCCGGAGCAACCCAACTAACTGATCCACGTACTGATATGGCTTCATTTTCTGTACCAGCATTCTTCAGCTGAGCTTCCTCCTGGCGTGTGACACCATCGCTCGTCTCAAAACTATAAAAAGATGTAATAATTATAATTATTAAATTTTATGTAAGAAATTTGTTAGATATAATTTTATAATGGTAAGAAATATTATATAATATACTTTTAATATTGTGTTAATTTTTAAATATTTTTTTATAATTGTTCGAGAAAAAAAGATTCTTTAATTTATTTATGATTGAAGTATATTTCTAAATTTTTGATATTAATGCTAATATTAATATTAGTATTAGTGTTTTATAATTAGTGTTTTATAATACATTAATTATTATTGTTAATATATTCTATTTTATCGAACTTCTATATTGTCATTGAAACGAAGGGTGAGTCTTCCAAAATATCTTCCATTCTTGACGGTTGTTTTTCGTTCGTCTTATATATATTTTGTATATATCAACAATATTAATTTTTAAAGTTAATTTTTTCTTGCCGAGAGTGATGCGTTTTTATGACGATAAGAAACTATTTAAAGGTAAAATGGATTCAAATATCATAGAAAAGACAAGGACAAAAATTTTATTTAATTTATTGAAATTTGGCTGACAACACTGTTTTAAGTATTTCCAAGTACTCATCATCAGTGGTCTTAGGTCTTATTAATTTTTATTTTTGAATCTTATTTTTGAGTTTTACTTTTATTTATATTAAAAAATAATTTAGTGTAAGCATAAATTTTTAATATATAATTTTTTATTCTTAATAATAGAAAAATTATAAAATTTATTACATTTATTATATTCTTACTAAAATATACATAGTTTTAAATTTTTAGTTTGCTTTATAGATATTTATTTTCTGATACTGATTTTTAAATTGAAAAAAAAAATGTAAGATGTGTAATTTTTATTTTTAAAAAATATTTTTTTATTGTTTCTGATTTAAAAAATAGTTGGACATTTTTCAATTTATTTTTTTATTAACATACAATTTAGTGAATTTCTTTTTAATTTGGTTTGTGTGGGGCGAAGGAACCTGTGCTTAATTATATCAATCTACAGAACTTTGTAGAATTTTGAAGTATTATATTAACATTTAATTTTATAATGAAAAAGATTATCAACTTTTGTTACATTATTTTATAAATGAATTTGTATTAAAAAAATTTCAAAAATGTAAATTAATATTGATTGTTGTAACTTGTTCTCATTTAGTTTTATTAATATTATTAAAACTATTTATTTATTTTTATAGTATATATTATAATTTTTTATAAGGTTGTAGTTAGAGTTCGGGATTTTATTTGCAACTTATTTTATTATTTATTAAATATTTTTAATTAATTATTTATTTATTCAGCAATTATTAAGAATTTATATGTTTCAAATAAAATATTTATAATTAAATATATTCTCGACTATTACTTTTTTCTAAAAATTATATTTTGAAAGTATTAAAATAAATTTTATAAATGATTTTTTGATTAAAAAATAGTAAATTTTTATATTTGCTTATTTCGTGCATGTATAAGTTTCTATTAGTGAAAAATGTTTTTTCTTTTATTTTAATATTTGATTTATATATTCATTTGAATCGGTTTTTATATATTTTTTAAATTGATATTTATATATATCTAATACAAATCACATTTTAATCACTTCTTTGTCTTACCCGAAATTATATCCGTCGACACCAATATTTTCATTATCGTATCTTAAAATTGTGGCTTTACTTGGTTCATCCAAAGGTGCTGTGTATGCAATCGCAACCAAACCAAAAATCACAAGGACTATCACTGAATTATATTTCATTTTAAATAAAATTTTTGAAAATTTTTTAAAATCAAATGGGCAAAATGACGTTTATCTTAACACAATTACGCGATAACTATGCCTTTGCCCTCTAATGAGTCGTGCTTTTTATAGGCCATCAATGGAAATTGGTTTAAAAAATTATGAATTGTGGTCAAGTGCCCAAATTGCGCTTTGCAAATACTAAGGCCTTAACAACATCTGCAGCAGCAAAGTACCAGAGCAGCAAAGACGCACAGCATCAGAGTAATACCAAAGAAAATCAACAATTTCAATAGCAGCAACAAAAAAAGGTGCTACCAAAGTATCTACAACAGCAACAACAACAACAAGAAAAGATAACATTAACAGCAGCAGCCGTAGCAAATTATGTAATTGAAGATGAAGTACACATTATTGAGGAACACGTTAAAGCCATTAACACGGCTCAAACTAAGTGAGAAGTGAGATTACATTTATCTTCATTGTTTGAGCTTGAGCAGTTGGATGTGTTTTCAATGAAAATACTCGTATATTTGTAATTTGTGTTTTTTGTTTTGTTGAGTTTCTGCTTTACTCGTCAAATTTGTTTAATCGTTAATGTAAATAATGGCAATGGGTCAATGACTGCAGTAAAACGGAATAATTCGACATTAAATGTCATAAATTCCTACCGTAGGCTCCTAACTACCTTAAGCAGACTTATAATGACAGCATTATTAAAAAATATATTCTCTTCAACCATACGAAGTTGTTATTGTATTAATAATAATCTTTGGCTTCATTACGTTATTAGTTGAAGGGTTTTCGTAACTCATTTCTGTTCATTATTTTATAGGTAATTAATGAAAAAATGTTTAACATAAAAAAATATATTTACTCATTTTATTTAATAAATAAAATTTATATAATATATCGTATTTGGTATATATGAAATGAACATATGTTAGATTGTCTCAGAGTTAACGCCAACTTAAGATAATTTTACATATCTACAAAATAAATTAAAAGATCAGTTATTTGCACTTATAAAGTGTTACCTTAAACGCATGAAAGTAAAAACGATCCACTACCATTAAATCAATCAACAGATCAATTTATTACCAATAAAAAAATTACTTAATTATTAATAATTTTATAAAAACTCATTGTGCCCCACGCTGCTTTAACATTATTATTTTGATTTTTTTCAATTTTTAATTAATTTATAAAGCAAATAAAATAAAATTCGAAACTTGCTGAGATCTTTGCCGTTGATAAGCCATAATAAGTGACTTAAAGCTCTGCGTTTATCTTAAGTACACAAAATTTCCGTAAATTTTTTTTTGATATGTGCCAGTGCTGTTAATTTTTGTGTACTCGTAATTTGAAGATGAAGTATCGTCTTCCGTTGTGTCATTGCTCCAATCTTTGCTACTCTCGACTATTGACGTAGTCGCTGACATAGTTTCTTAATTTACATGCAAACGCAATGGGCGTTTTAACCTCCAAAAGCAGATGAGTAAATAATTTCCGTGGAATCCAGTCGAGTTGTGCATGATCAGCTGCTGAATGCTGAACTCTTGCACTACCGCCACCGCTACCACTTTTTGGTAACACACCTCAAAAAAAAAAAATGCGCTGTTGTTGCACCACAAAACGACCTCACTCCGCTGTGGGTGACTGATGGCTTAAGGTGAACTTTAGGGTATCGCAGCTTTGTTTTAAATATTTAGATACATTTGATTTTTGTTATTTAAAAAGATTTATTGCTCTCTACATTGCGCTGTATCTAAAATAGAAAATTTAGAACTTATTATTCAAATAATGCACCACTTATGACGCAACACCCTAACAAACAACTTTCAATTATATTAAACTATCTTCAATAATTTGACATGATATTTACTCTCCACATTGCGCTGCATCTAAAGTAGAAAATTTAGAACTTATGCAATTACTTAACAACTAATTTTCAATTATATTCAATTAATATTAAAGTATCTTCAATAAATTGAAATGATATTTTGTATAATATAGTAAATAAAAATTGAACTACATGAGAATTATTAAATAAATGCTTTATTATTTAAAATTGCTCTCTATATAACACAGAATGTGCTGCTCAAACACGATTTTTCTCTTTGCCGCACTAAAATATTCTTAACCTGTTTAATGTTTGCTGTATTTTGTAAATATCTAAACGTTCACTATGTTGTTCATCAATAAAAGACTTTTATTTTTCTCCAAAATTTTTCTATCACTTTTTATGTTAAAATTTTAATTAATTTTTAATTTAACATATTTTGAATTTAATTCAATTTGATAACAATAATAATAGAAAGCTAATCATAAACCAACAGTTTCAACTTCTGACCATTCAAATTATTATTGTTTCGTTTTATTTCTGTAAAATTGTATTTCTACTTTTTTCCACCACAATATTGCCAAAAATTATATTCTGAAATGGCTTTAGACTCTTCCTTTCTTGCGCATTATTCAGTCGGTTTCCGAATGCTTAAATAACGTTGCAAAATACGTAACTTTATAGATAAATTATTCATAATTAAAACTTTTGTTCAGTGATTAATATCTACTGAGTTTTATATTTGAAATGAATATTTATGGATGACTGTTGACAAAAAAGTGAAGAAAATTGCCATTGCAGGCTAAAATACATAATTTTTAGTCGAAGTGTTCCAATAGAGGTTAAAATTTTTACAATGTTATATAAGATCATTTAACAATATTATATGGTATTATATGGTATATTATATGGCTACATAGCCATATAATATGGGTCAGCCATTTCGGTTGAATTGAAGCATAAAGCGAATTCCGTGTCAAATGCTGTGTCATATTGACATGTTTCTCAGTCTAAATAAATTAAAAACCAGATAATTACTAGATTCGGAAATGGACATGTTCTTTTATATGACAGTTTTCAAAAATGCGAATAAAGAACACCAATACTTTCAAATTTTTGAAATGCAAAGAGAAACTCTCTCTTATCTTAACTGTTGATACACTGTGATTGGCAGGAAACAAGTTCAGCGCATCCATACAGTTGTTATTAAACTGAATAAGATCTAGAATCTTGATCGAAGACATATCATTTGATGAGCAACAGTATAATAAGTTCATTTGTATTAGTTTGGGTGACTCTCTGCAGGGTTAGATCAATACATCTCACAATGTATGATTGTTCCTACTACTAATGATACTACTCTAAATTTTTGCTTAAAGTGCTTAATACTAATGTTCTTTTTTAATAGTTGAATTAACGATAAAACAGGATAACAATTATAAATATAAAGCTTGCAGCTTTGACATATATGCCGTGTGTTAGTCATAGTGTTAGTAAAAAAATTGGTCTCTTTTTTCTTGGTGGATTACATAGGCCTGTCGAAAGATAGCCAGATTTGGACCCAATTATTGCTATTTTTGTATTGTTTGTGTCTTCACACCTTTGTATGTGATTATTCAGCCCATCTGTTGGGTGAGGAAAGTTTTACTTTGCGATTTGTCTTCAAAAACTTGATAGTCATACCAGTACATTTCAACTGTTATTCTTCGCCTATTTAATTATGATATCTCCATTCTGCACATACCTATAGCTCCATGTTGTATCATATCCTTTACCTTTTATCATTTTTCATATAATACCGTAAATTTACGTACAATTTTCCCCTTAATCTTATTCGTTTCTGTGTCTATCGATGGTTACACCTATATTGTAAATAATTTTGGTAGGATTTAATACATAATTTCATATAAAACGAATCTTATCATTTTCAAATCAATAAGACAGCAGATTAGTCAATAAGGGATTCGTTAAATGGGTTATTCTAATATGACGAATAACCCTTATTTAATGGTCGTTCGTAGTTATAGCCCTTCAGATCATTTGTTTTTTTGTGGCTTCAGTTTTTGATGTTCTTATCTTCGGTTTTTTGGAAGTTAGCTGTTTAACGTGTTGATGACCTTACTCAATAAAAATAAATAACTTAAAATATTATATACCAAAGATAATTATTCAACATCGCATAAAGCTTTAAATTTCGTTGGGCGCATAAATCAACGCTTAACCATTGTGGCTTGTGTCGAAGTTTCGATTCATATTGCTTATATGCATATTAAATGAAAAACCAAAACTATATACACAAACTAATTTATAGACTATAATTTATAAATCACGCATTGTTAAATGCATTTTGGAAGTGAGCTTAATTTAAAGAATTTTTAAATTTATGCGATTTTAGCTTTGTATTATAGTATTTTGGTACCAAACAATAGTAAACAATAATAAGAATTCATTTTTAAGATTATAAAATTATAGTGAAGCAGTTTTATTTGGTGCTGAGAGATTCACTAAGACGATATATAATACCCATAATATATTGAATTGTCAGATTTAATTTCAATGAAGTTAAACACTGCGTTATTTATTTAGTTATTTATTTTTTCATCTCTTTTAGCAATTTATTTTAAAATTTTTATTGACGAGTGAATAACTCAGCTTGACACGTTTTAAAGGCAAGTCTATAAATATTTTATGTCTAACGCCTATTTGTGTGACCTAAAGACTCTAGACTCTGTCTTATATCTGTGTATCTGTGCACCAAGCTACTTGAAGATTTGGAGTATGTTTGCTGGCAAACAATTAAATTTTCATCATACCAAGCCGACGCATATGCGAAATTAATTATGATAGTTGCCCCCGTGGCAAAATGCGTTTTGTGGGTGGGGAAGTTGTGCAAGATTGACTTTTTAAACAATAACTAAAAGTCTTTGTTCGTTACATTAAAGTAAAATAACTCATATATCATTTATCATTTTTTTTTGTTGTTTTTTATATCTGCAATTAATTGCCAATTCGTTCGCTTGCATAATGAATAAAGCAATCCACTATAAGCCGACGAGAATGTTTCAAATTTCATATTTTTTCATATTTTTTAATATTTCATTATTTATTTAATTCATTTATTTATCATCATATTAAATGATAAATAAATTTGGCAATAAAAAACTAAAACTTCCGCAGTAACTATTCAAATATTTATTCACACACTTTTTAACGAATATTTGGGTATGAATAGACACTTCGAGCCATCAATTTAGTTGTTTCTGTTTTCCTAAAATTTTATTTAAATTTGGTTTTTGTTTTTGTTTTAGTATTATTACAAACTCACAACATCAAGGTGAGCAATAAATAGTCACTTTTAAATGGCACCAGTCAATTGGAGAACTTCTTCAAGATAAATGGGCCTATTTTACAAAGCTGTGTGAGAAAATAACTGTTTGCGAAACTTTAGTGTACTTAAGAGTACAACTTGACTGGGCTATAAAAACTGGAAAGCCATCATCGATCAATACTTCGAAAAGCGTTAATATTTAATACTTTTTAATTAATCGAATTTGTGATTAGTATTTACGGAGTTATGGATTGTAATTGCAGTTCTAGGCATGCAATAAATTTATTTTTCAGTTTAGTTTTATATATTTTTTGTTATTGATGTAACTCACTCAAAATCTAAGAAGTATTCGGTTATATCAATTTCAAAATTTATTACATGTGTATTTGTGTTTCTTACCGAAGTTTAATGGCACTTTGTCAGCTTTAAAAATCTTATTAGAGAGGTTTTATTTTCAATAATTATCAAGATATAAGGTATAATGAAAACTGTTGCCAAAAGTCCCCAATACCTAAAAAACTGTTCACTTAAATCACTTCACTTGGACACTTATTTTTATTATGTTATATATCTTTTAATTTGATATGTAGTTTTATAGACATAAAAACTACATATTTATATATATGTATATATATATTTATATAATTTAAATAATAAATATATAATTAAAAAGTGCAAGAACACAGCATTATTAGTTATAATCAACGTTAATTTAAAAAAAATTAGACCATCTAAGTTAACCTTAAGTATAATAAACACATTTTGTAACTAATTAATGTGCCTAAATACCAAGATATGACACTTTAGTTTGAAGTTATCTGTAAGTCTTTCTATTTTAGCTGAAACCTGTTTGGTATCAGCTAGTGTAATTAATATTAAAGAGGAGAAGTACCATGGAATATTATAAATCATTTTACAGAGTTTGGTTTGTAAAACTAGCAATTTTTCAAATATACAGTTTAGAGCTGCGCGACCATACTGGAGAGTACAACCATGTACTCAGATGAGTTCACAAGTTGTAGTAATTCAAAATAGATATTTCTGAAAAATTACATTTATTACCGAAAACATTTTTTTTTAAATTTTGGTATGTATTATCGGATATAAAATATCTTCTTAATATTTTATAAACATGAATTTTCTCATATCACATACGGTTTTCCAATAATTGACCGCCAAAACGAACAGGTAAATTTCCCACAACGTTTAAGTAGCTATGAATAAATTGCATAATAGTGGACCCACCAATGCGTAAGTTCTACAAATAATGCTTTAAGTTATAAGATCTTTCACATTGAGTTGTCATTACAAATCATAAATGAATTCGAATAAAGTCTGGTGTTTATTAATATAGACCCAGTAAACAAGGTGCAAGTATAGGAAATAAATAAAGTTCTATACGAATAAAAGTCGTCTTCTAGGTATTATTAAATGCCAGAAGAATATTTTAACATAGACAATTATTTCTGTATATAGAGAAAATTAGTTCCTGAAAATATGATGTAAGTAATAATCATAATAAAAGTAAGGATTGTACATAATAAATAACACTTCCACTTTATAAATACTATACTTAGAACGGCAAAACCTGATCGCAATTAGATTTAGACGGTCAGATTGTGTAGTTGATTTTATATATAGAATTAATTCAATTCAAATATTTTTTTCTTAAAACCAGAAAAATTAATATACAGTTATAAATATTTTAATCAAATTCTATGCTCTGTGAAATTTGATAATTATTTATAAAAGAATACATACATATGTATATATTTTTTGCTAAATTTTTTGCTAAATTTTTTTATATCAAGAAGCTAAATATGTATCCAATGTGTTCAACTGATTAAATTAGGTTTTTCATGAAAGTCTCAAATATAATTCTCAGAATTTTAAGATATTTTAATAAAATTTATTGCTTAAAATAAGGATTTTTTTACTGTTAGTATTTAATTTGTTAAATTAAAAAAATATGTTTCATTAAGAAAAAATTCGTTTCAATAAAATTAGTATAAACGCCTTAATTTTGCTCTGTTTAAACAAAGTTTATTTAAAGAAATATTTTACAAAAGACTAGAAATCCACACAGAGAATATTAAAAATTAAAGTATTAACAAATAAAATAACAATAATTTAATAAAAAAATTACTAAAATCACAAATTTACACACATTTCAACTTGCTGCAAAGAAGCCTTAATAAAACTTAAGCTTCTGGTGCCACTGGCAAATGATCACCTTCCGGTTGGAAGCCATTCTCATCAGCCAAATAATTAAGTGTATAGTGTGTGCCATCTGGACTGACCCAACTGACTGAGCCTTGCACGGAAATAGCCTCATTTTCAGTACCAGCGTTTTTCAAGGTGGCAGTTTCTTTACGTGAGACACCGTCGCTTGTTTCGAAACTAAAAAATATTAACAAACTTATAGTCGGATTCAATGCTAATATATAGGTCTTTAATATATGCGATTGATATACTGGGTTCAGTTAAATGACCCATAATCAAACTTATTCTAATATAAATCGTACTTACGCGAAATTGTAACCATCAACACCAATGTTATCGTTATCATACTTGAGAATCTGCACGTCTTCCTCAGCTATGGGAGCTGCCCAAACAAGCGCCAGTAAAAAAGATACACAAACAACAGATATAAAAACAATTTGAGATTTCATCTTGTTAATTATTTATTAAGTTTTTCTGCTTAATTTGTTGTTTGTTTGGTATGCTAATTAGTTTGGGTGTGTGGTGTAGCTAAAAATTAGCTGTGAAGGATCTTCCGCGCACAATGAATGAACAACGCACCAAACGTTTCTTGTTTGACGTAATTCAAACGTTTTTTCGGGACTGTTCAACCGAGACTACTGCGCTAATCAATGCGCCAAGCAAAAGCTTTATATACAAATACAACTAATTAACATTGAAACGAAAGAAGTTTTCTTACTACTCTCCAAAATCAGTTAAAATTCATACTAAATCAAATCAAACCAAATATAAGAAAAAAATAAATTATAATAAATAAAAAAATGTTATAAAAATAATTTTATTTATTTTTTTTTGTTTGTGTATATAAAAAATGTATAAAATCTCAAAACTGAAATATATAATTCCACGTAGATTGTTGATTGTCGATCAACAGCTCGACCAACTACGTACGAGCTGTGATGTGTTGTGTAGGTTTCTTGATTTGGGGACTCGATTTTGGTTTGGTCAGATTTTATGTATCTTCGCAAAGCACAAGTGTGCGGCAGCCAGAGGCAGCTTTGACGCCGGCTTGATTAACGTTCGTTTTCTCACTTAACGCAAAGTTCAAATGCCAAATAAACTTCAATTCCAAAATATTAAAACCACTTTTATATGTCGAGCAATTCAATTCAAGTCAGCACAAACAAAAACAATAACAATCAAATATAATATTATTAAAAAGAACAAAAAACAAGAACAATTATATATAAAGCCAAATGCTAGAATTGTATCTTCAACCGATTTTGTTGCAATTCTGTGACAAATTTTATGATAATTCCAGGCTGCCATTCATCAGAAGTGGTGTGCGCGTGTATGAAAGATACAATTATAACGGTTTCCTATGTAAACATTTTTATATGCAAAATTATTTGATATTGAAGCCATAAATTTGTGCACAAATTATTTTACTTAATTAAATTTAATATTCAAACAAGTTTTTTTATACACTTTTTTCTTTTTCGTGTTAAGAGTATTAAGTCGAAATTATATTAAACATTGTTTGTCTAAGTATTTGTCAAAAATGAGTTTTTAATTTGGTAATTTCAGAAATTAATATTTAAAAATTATTTTTGGTTAAAATATTTAACTCAGCATCAAATCGTATTTATTATGTCAGTAATACGCAGTTTATCTAATTGTTTTGGAAGTGCCATACTAATCAGTCTATGATTGATGATGCACTCTATTCATATTTTTTTCTATTGCTTGTAATATGTATATCGTTACTAATGCTTACCAAATTCCCTATAATTATATAGTGTGTAGCTCATAAGTCTACAGCTACTGAGTAGTAAGTAACAAATCATTATGTTATGCAGATACCAAAAGAAAAAAGGCTAAAGTAACAATTAAATACGAGCATAAATCATCTTCATCCTATTTTCAAACTGCACACATTTTAATATTATTGATGTAATTATTATATACAATAGTTATGAAATTTAGCTCTTTAGTCAATTAGTTGTACGAAAAAGTAGACAATATGCCATTTTTATGACTGCTAAAATATTCAGGATAGCCGTAATATTGTTCGAATTGAAGTAAGATACGCCTCAGTAACTCGTAGGTGAACCTGGCTTTACAATTTATTATTGTTAAGTCATACAGCCCTATTGGTCTGAGTGACAGATGAAGATAAATCTTATATAGATTTGTGTTAGATGCTATAAAAGTGGTCAATGCTATTTGCGAATCCAGTAAACTAAAATGATTAAACCAAACAACTTGTACTATAACATAGTATAGAGATGTACCAATTACAACACCCCTAATTCACTAACAAATTTCACAAGTACCAGACGAATGATATTATTTAATTTATAGTAGTAAGTTTTACTTGATTTAAACCTTATCAAATTTTATAATTAAGATCTCACTAAAACAACTAATTTATAAAAAAATATAATAAAAAAAAAAATGATGTTTATGATTACGAACAGACTAAAACACGCGGCTCATACTAAAAATAAGACAACTGATCTTATTTTTATCTAATCCCTAATCTGTTAGAATAAGGGTTTGATTAATAGCACCTAATCAGCGAAAGCATAAAATCTGCGGCATATGTAAAATGTATTTCTATAATTTTAAGCTGATTATCAAAACATATATCGAATTTCGAGCTAAAAATAATTTCCATTTAAGTACGCTCTCCTAAAAGTAAGAAGATGAAGAAAAGTGTATCGTTATCATTTTCAATGTTAAATACTTTAGTAAATGAGAGCAAAACTATCTGATAAATACATTATTGTCTAGATATTAAAAATATTTTAAAGAATACTGCCTGAAAAGCAATTTTCTAAAAGTATTAATAATGAGAACACGATTTTATGATGAATATGGCTAACAATATGTGATGCAATGAGGACTATTGTTATTTAGTTACAAAGCGATCATTTTGAGGTCAATATGTTGAAGTTATAAAAACTATATTAATTATTTTTGGCATTGAAAGTGTTTTTTATACTTAGTTTTCTTCATTTAATATTTCTCACTAAAAATTATTAATATATTCTTTACTTATAGGTATTTCATATTTTGGCATCAGATAGTATCAATTTTTTATTGTCATTGGGAATATATGAACGGTTGCTTTTGTAGTTGTAATGTTGTAATGCAGTTGTAATATAATACATGCACATCTCCAAAAGTTTTAATGCAATTATACAAAAGCAGAAGAACAATTTATTTTTGCCCAAAGGAATATTGTAATTTATTTGAGTATAAATACAAGAGTATTATCGTAAATAATAAGTTTTTACAAATCAGCTATAATTAAGCATATTTTGAAAGTATCATTCCGTACAGATTCATTCCAAATAATTAGTTGGAAATAAACTTGAATGTTGTTCAAATAGCTTGCAGATCCATAAAATTGCCAATAAATTGTAAGATTATAGGCAACTGAATTTAAACTATCTTTCAGTAAGAAATAAGCTTATTTGTTTCAAAAAAATTTGACACGTTGTGATATAAAATATATATAGTTTTTTTAAATAATTGATTCTTCAACAGGAAGTGTATTCGGTACATCTTTTAGTTGTTATTAATATGAAAACGGTAGCATTTTTCATAAAAATGAAGTAGCAATCTTTTTTTAGATGGCTGTTTAGTTCAAGTAGTGAATCGGTAAGTGGGTCCACTTTCACATTATTTTGATACCACATATTAAATCGATTATTTGTGTAGGCAACTCGGTAAAATTTAATCTATTCAATTTATGAATCTCTGGGGTCATTGAGAATAGCTTTTGCTAGCTCTTTGATATTATTAAAGAATGCTTTTTCTAGGACTCTTCACAATTACATATAATATCACTAACTGATTATTGAATTCAAATAAAACAAATATGGGAACTTCAATTTGACAAGTAAAAATTTTATTCTTTAATTTCTGAATTTTGTATTTGGCAACACTGAGTTAATAATTTTAAGGTAAATAGATCGTAATATTTAAAAGTAAATAAAAGAATAAATAAATTATATGTTTATTATTTGTTATATATTTAATTTTTCAACATAATGTACTCAACATTATAAGTTTCACTAGAATAAATATGTTTATATTATATTACATAATTAATTTATTATTAAATTTATTTTTAACGTCCGCTTTGAAGAAACTAAATTCTTAATATAGACTATTATTTTCAATAGAGAGGTATTTCGTATTAAATTAATTATTAATAAATTATAATTAGTTTTTCAAAATAATTTACTCAATGTAATAGATTTCACTAGGAAAAATTCTTAATAAATTAAAACTTTTTTAAACAATACAAAATTAACAATTCTAAAATTAACTGAACTACTGGTTAGTGTAAGTATAAATATAAAATCTTAAGTAAAAATACTTTTGTCTAATGAAATCAGATTCGACAAAATCTATAAAATTTCGAAACTTATTATGTCAGCCAGATCAGCCTTTGCTCACGTGATATGCGCATAAGTAGCCTTCCCATCTGAACTTTATGTGTCCACAAATTAATTTTAAACATTCCATATAAAATTATTTAATAAATGTATATAATATATGTGCATATGTTAACAAATACGAGATAATAAATATAACAAGTTCTGGATTCTGAAAACCAGTATAATAAAATCATCTTTAGATGTTCAAAAAAAATGAGCCTAACGAAAGTGATTATTCTTGTTACGTTTAAAATTTAATTTTCATGAATATTTATAAAAATAAAAATATTAAATATGAACATATTTAATTTTTATATAGCTTTATTGACGTCATCAAATTAGTAGAAATATGACTTTCTTCTCTGTGCATAAAAATTCATATTTTATGTTCTAATAAAAGAATTCGTTAGAATTATAAAATAATTTCTTTTATATCTTTATTAAAGTTTGTTAGAAAGAATGAATTCATTTACGTAAATAAAATCAATTAACATAAAAAATGAAATTTTAAATATTAATATGCCAAAAAATTTATGTGAACTTTATAATCCATTTATAATTTTAGACATGATTGCCGCAATCGTCTTAGACTGCCATGATACAATTAATCTCCGATTGGCGTTACAACTACTTCTCTTGTCGGTCTGCAGCTCAAATAGGTACCTCGGGCAATGAGTATCTCGAAAAACAGTGACATTTCAGGCAACTGTAAAGCAAATGAATTTGACACAGCAGGTAAGTTACTTTCCGATATACACTTCTCTGATACAAGTATTACCTCTTGAAGCGTCCTAATTGATAAAGAAGCATAAATAGATAGCATTGAAGAGAATAGCCTGCTGTTGCGAAAGATTATTATTAAAACAATCTTATATTTCTGCACCTGCTCCAAATTGGACATAATTCGTATCATCCAGGTCTTATATATTGCTGTTGACAGATCATTGCTTATCAAGAAGAAAAGCAATTACATTTGGTCTACCTTCGTTATCAATTCCTTAAACTACAAATTCTTGATGACTTATAACTAGATAATACTCCCCACATTTTACGTTAATCGTATTTTAAATTTAATATTTTTTAGAAAGGTTTCGAAAGGTTTTAATTAATTAAATTTTGACTGACCATACAGCTGTTTCGAGTATTGTCAAATACCCATCACTAATTATTCTACCACTGGCTTATGATTTCGTTCTAATATAAGACAGCACGTTAATTTTTTAATTAACTTTCACAGTAAATTAACAGAAAACTTCAAGTTCGAACATATAAGTGATATATGGCTTTGGGTCAGTTGGCTAATGAACACTGACTCCGAGCCTCAAAATTGGCTGGGTACGAGTTTAACCTTTGGGTCTTGCAGTATGAAAAAGTTATTTACGAATAATTAAACATAAAAAATAGGTATTTGTAAATTCGGGTAGTTCACTATTTTTCGAAACCCATCTATTAAACACAATAGGTTCTGTTAAGTAAGAACAGTCACTACCGTCATATTGAGAATCTGAAGACGGAATACTCTTTTATTGCATTAGTAATGTTAAAAATAATTAGATCAAATTATCTTATGAAATATAAAATACTTAGATTTCATTTTAGAAACGGTGCATGCTTGCACATGCCGACAGTTAGATGCTTTATATCTAGACTGTTTTCAGAAAATCTTTTTCCAACAGAACTTTCTTAGTATTTCCAAGGTCAAGTTCTTTCCGTTTCTACCTTACATCCGCCTTCCAGCATTACTTTGCATTAAACCGTCTTCCAAGATATTAAGCTTCATATTCATATGAAATATTTGTGCTTCTGATATGTTGTGGCGTATGGACCAATGAGAAATCACTGCCTTCCAGCATTACTTTGCATTAACCCTGTTCTAAGATAATAAGCTTCATATTCGTATGACAGATTTGAGGTACCAATAGGTTGTGGCGTATGAACCAATATTTTTTAATAAAAGTGAATATTAACTGACTTAGTGTTGTTTCGTTTAATCCACTACTTTTCTGCTCACTACATTTTTGAATTGTATTTACAACATCGATGAAATATGTGTTTTTTGCTATGCATTGACATTTCAAAATGATCCCCGGGAATATGTATCTAGACGTATGTATCAAATTACTGACAATGCGTTATCTGGGTTACTGATATCATATAAGAAACTTGATGATCATGTTTTAATTCATTATCTAAAACAAGAATTGAAAATAAAATAATTGTTTCTAAATGATTTTATTTAAATTTACAATTATTTCTATAGGTCTACTTTCAAAGTTCAAGGATGAATTCACATTACTAATAATCTACTTCTTCCGTTTCTTGACGCTTTAAATTCAAAATACTTAAGGCAACAGTTTTTTGTCAGGTGTAGCGAAGCGCATAGACCAGTATTAATATTTTGATATTATTCTTTTATTAATTTACTATTTAATTGTTTACCTTCTATTACACAATATGTACCTTATCAATATCTTTAATTAATTTCTAATGCATATTTCAAAGTATTCAAGTACATTTGAAAGATCAATCATAAATCTCAGGGCCATTGCAAAATGCGCTTTTCATGCGCATTTCAGTGAAATGCTCCAAAATATCTTTAAGGTTGATTTATTTGTTTTCAAATTGTAATCGAGTAAGTTTAATTTAATCAATTAAATATTTGCTTTAACAATAAAGGACAGAATGTGTAACAAGCACTCAACATTTTTTTTGAAATTTGTCAAATGCTTTCAAACATTTCTGTTCACCTCACAAGATACAGAGAAGCAGTGCAAATTGTCTTGCAATTCAAAATGTCAATGTTCACTTTTAAAAGTGTAAAGTGTAAAGTTGCCCGAACTCGCGAAATCTCGAATGCTCGAACACTTGAAAGATAAATTTGCAATAATGAAAAGACCAGTGTACCTACGGCTCTAATTATTTCTTTTGTGTTCGTCTTTTTTCGTCTTTTTTTCCAAATTTCATTTGAATTGCTGGAGACTTCGGATTTCAGTAGAAGAAGTGGGTCGGTGTTTATGTTCGATTTATTGTATTTGCTAATTTTGGGTTTGGTCTCAACTATTCATCGCTCAATCACTTATCAAGTGCAAACTAAGCCAGCACCGTACATACTCGTACGTCGATTTGCATGTATCTGAACGAGTGTCTTGAAAGCCCAATAACGAAAGATTGTTTGAAATTTGTGCAATTTTGCTTGTTGCCACAAATTTAATTACAAGTTTTTAGCTTGGAGTTAAATATTTCAAATCTGATGAGCAGCACAAAACAAGAATATGCAAAAGTGAAGAGGCTTAAAGAATTGCTGTTGCAACGTAGTCGTTAAATAAGAAGACAAAAATGTATCTGCAGCTTCAGCCGCTAGCCGTCAGCTACAGTGCCTTCAAGAGTATCCATGGATACATCATTTTTTTTTTTTTTTGTTGAGTTTTTCGGCAAAGAAGATGTAAAATATAACTTTAAACAAGTTTAAGTTTACGCATTTCAACGTTCCTTTGGATTTATGTTTTGGTGTCGTTGGTGTCGTTGTTGTCGGTTTTGTCGGTTTTGTCTTTCATGATTATTACAAATATAATTATTGGTGTATTGTTGTTGTTGTTGTACTGCAAAGATATTGTGTTGGCATCCATTGCGCTGAGTACGAGCAGTACTTTAGGTTGGTACTCTTGTTACTCGTGGTATTTGTTGTATCTGTAGTATGCGCTATGCGCTATTCGCTATTCGCTATGCTGTCGACTGACTATAAAATGCCAGTAATGAGTGGCTGTAGTACGCATTAATTGTTCAGTACTTCATCGATTAACAACAATCGCACTTGGACTTATAGCACTTGCTACCAATAAAAACTTCAAAAATAACAAAACAAAATATCTACAAAAATGAAATTCGTTATTGTTTTTGCTGCTTTGTTCGCTATCGCTCTTGCTGCCCCAGCACAACAAGAAGCGCAAGTATTACGTTACGATTCGGATGTACAGCCTGAGGGATATAAGTTCATGTGAGTTATTTTTTCTTTCACTGTGAATTTAATTGTTAATCTTTTTGGCTACTTTTGCGAATATATGCGAAAGTAGGTCAGGAGACAAGGTCGTTTGAGGCAATTACTGAAAATTAATAAAATTATATATTTTTTTTAATTTAAGTGTCGAGACCAGTGATGGTAAAACCCATCAAGAAGAGGGACAACTCAAGGACGCTGGCACCGATCACGAAGCCATTGTAGTACGTGGCTCCTACTCATATGTTGGTGATGATGGTGTTACCTACACAGTGACCTATCTTGCCGATGAGAATGGTTTCCAGCCTGAGGGAGCACATTTGCCACATGCTTAGAGTGTGTATTGTGAAATATCCTCGAAAGAAAAAAAACGGACAAGGATGTTCCTTTCATAATACTCAATACGTTGTGTTAACTAGGTTTAAGCAAGTTTTTTAAAAACGAATAAAAAATATTATAAGTAAAAGTTAAATTTTTAAATTATTACTTTGAATTTGATATCGGTTGAAAGGCATACCAATCATTATGGGAATCATTATAGCAACAAACGAAATAAACGTCTTCACGGTGTTTTAATTGCGGTTACTCAGAATAGAGTTATTCAGCAAAAATTAAAAAATAAAATATAAACAATTTAATAAATATTGAGTTGAATTTCAAAAAAATTGATTTAATTGATGAAACTAAATATTAATTACAAATATTACACATTTGATTAAAATTTAATTCATCAGTAAATTACAAATATGACTGATATTGATTCAATTTCTCAACGAGTGGCAATTAACAGATTTAATTATTTTCATATGTTTGTTATAAGTTATAGTAAAAATATTAATTCTTAAAGGATTTTTTTTTTTAAATCCGGAGAATGTATCCATAGTAAAGTTTATTATGCATTTCTGCAAGGTGTTTCAATTCAGTACAGATTTAAAAAGTATTTTTGCCTAGTATCATTAAAAACTGATTGACTTATGTGTGAGTTGAAAAATATTTATACTTAGTATATTTTTAAAGACATTGAAAATCAATATATAATATATACTATATAATTTTTAATAATAATTTTTTTTTCAACAGCCAATAGTTAAATATATACTTCATAAAAAGAAATAAACAATTTTTACTTGTTTCTTCTTTCAATTAAAAAAATTTTTTTTATTTTTAACCTATATTTCGACTATATTCCCTAGTCATCTTCAGGATACTATATAAGAATTACATATATTGAGAAATTATGTAATAATATAATAAAATAATAATACGATACTTTGAGAATAAAAATAAAATACATATATAGAGGAATGATATATTTACCCTCTTCTGGATTTGTTGAAGGTGTTTTTATACTCCTGACCACAGTGTTGTATATCAGTTTTATAATTCATCCTGGTGTCATTAGTAGTTTCTAGAATATGGAGCATATCCAAGAAAATTCTTTTTTGTTGGATTATTTTTTTGTTGTAAAACCTCTATATTATCTAAGTCTGGCTTGTTTTTTGATGTAAAGCACTGTGAAGCCATTTATATATTATAGTTCATCTGAATTCTTTTTATTCTTTATAATTTTAGATAAAATCACTAAAAGTAATTTATAATTTTACCGGTTGCAATACGGTAATTTGAAACAAAAGGGAGAGAGATAGTATACTTTCAACGTAGTAAGAGAAATGTAACATAAGGCATGTAGACTTTAATACATGGTATCTGCCAGAAAGGTTCTCTCTGGTATCGACCATTTTATTATATACACGAACATAAATAGTTTTAGGTTTTACATACAAAAAGATAAATATGCAAATTGGCTAAAACAAAACTTTTTAAATTTAAAACATGCAATAATGAACGCCGCTTTATTTATAATTCTCATTAACTTTTTATATGATATAGTTGTAAGTTACAAACAAACTTCTACATTTAAGATGAGAATAATTTTAATATCTTGTTGTAAAAGCTATGTAAAGTTATTGCAAAAAAGTGTTAATCTTGAATGAAATTTATGATTGGGAAATGTAAGAGTTAATTTAACAATGCACACTTCAGTGCGAGTCTGACGCTAAAATAGCAGTTATTTGAATAATAAATTACACTTTACGTCGAAAACCGAATACTTAAGGGATAATAAACTTAAGTGTATGTTGTAAAACTGGCTCTAAAGCTTATAGTATCGAACAGAGTATGCCGATACTTGCAATGTGGGAAATCGAATTTTTTGTAATATTGTTTATAGCTGGCAAGTACATATATCTACAAATAATTTTATAGTCCATTGCATAAAAAAAAAATTGGAAAGATTTTATATGTTACATAGCTAAGCTGTGAGATTTGTTTTCTTTAAGTTTTAAAAGTTTGTTCCTCATAATTATTATTTTTCATATAATTTCTGTTCCTATTTAATAGTTATTTTGACATTTAAGACTCTTTCGAGGTTTGGAGACTTATGGTGCTTTGCGCCTAGCCGCCCGACATTTGTCATCATTTGAATTTCGTTTTGTACTGTTATTCCAAAATTTATGTTTTCTATTTTATAAAGAGGTTTTTCGAACAGTAGTGAACTACAACAACAAAAATTTTTTTTTTTTTATATTATTTTAATTAATTGAATTTTTGGCTGACCATACAGCTGTTTCGAATATTGCCAAATACCCATCATCGGTGGTCTTCGAAATAATTCTTGTATTTAATTATTCGTAAATAATTATTTTTTTTAGACTGCAAGTACCAGGAATCGAACTTGGGTCCTACCAAACTTGAAGCTCAGAGTCAGTGCTCCTTACCTAACTGACTCAAAGCCGTACTTGACTTTTATGTTCGCACATTTTTTGGAGTTTTGTTACTTTGCTGTGAAAATTATTATTAATAAATTCACTTACTGTGTTTATATTAGAACGAAATCATAAACCAGCTGGGAAATAATTGAATTAATTAATTAATATATTTTTATTTTTAATTGTTAAATTTCAATATGTTACTATTCTGTTCGTAGAGGCAATATTTATTACATGATTTGTTCTTTCTTAGGTATAGAACCTAATCTAGGAACGTAATGCTGACAAAGTCATGCTAATGTTACTCCACTAGTTGCACGGGCGAGACCAATTTTATTGTGTTTTCTATTTTTAAAATTAAATAAAATTAAAATGTACACATATGATCTATTGTTGCCTGTTTGTAAAAATGCGTATTAATATATATAAGTATCTATTAAAGTAGGCCACCTAAGCCTACTCAATCAATCGAATAGACAATCATATAAACACAAACCTTCAAATATTCCGATTCTTTCTGCTAAAACTGATATGCATTTGAAAGTAATTATTATTTGTTTAATCTAAAAGAATCTATTTGTTTTGTAGTATTATTTTATACATCAGTTCAAATCAAAGACTTAGGTTTTTGTAATTTACCTTAATTTTTACAGATCAATTTAATGAAATCAGTAAAGAAGCTCACTTTAATGCACATAATGCATTTAACAAAATTCTTATAAATTTTTTGAGGACAATATGCTAGATCAGTATCCACTTTTTCAACACTTCTAACTCTCATCAGTTTATACTAACATACCACAAATACACATAAATTAAAAAAAAAATTTTCTTATAAATTTTACTATATTTATTTAATACTCAACAGTCATAGCAGGGAAAACAATATTAACTATTTAAGCTTGTGGCAAATGAGCACCTTGTGGTTGGAAACCATTTTCGTCAGCAATGTAGTTTACGGTGTAGGTTTGGCCGTCATCAGCAACGAAGCTGTATGAACCGCGTACTTGGATGGCTTCGTTTTCGGAGCCAACATTGTTTAGGTGACCTTCAGCGTTGGCTGATACACCGTCGCTGGTTTCATAGCTGTAATCAAAAATAAGCGACATTAATTGATATCGAAATTTGATCACCGATTAAATCAGCAAAAATCGAAATTATTCCACTTTGCTGCTTGTCTTCTTATACAATATCTACTTACGCATAGCTGAAGGATTCAGGTCCTACGATGGATTCTGAGCGCAAGACTTGAGCATCCTCTGGACGAGGAGCAGCCAAGGCGACAGCGAAAAGAGCAGCGAAAACAATAACGAATTTCATTTTTATTGTATTAATTTTTGATTAAAAACTTATTTGTTTGGCGTACAGCAAAACCGTAAGACGAATGATACTGACTTGTAGAAACACTCCGGCTTTTATATCTACAAAGTTTATCCAAAAAGATGCAAACTATCAAAAATGATGGATTTACCAAAAAAAAGTGCGTACATCAATATATCTTTTAAATAAATATATATATTTAAGTTAATAACTTTTGTCTTGCCTTTGTTGGATATAACAGACATAATCATTGATGAAGTTGTAGAAGAAGAAGTAACAATTAGTTAATTCAACCGGTAATTTTTTAAAGATTGAGGCAAAACTGTAGCCATGTTTCTGTATAAAAAAATAAATTTATAAAATTTAAATAAAACATACAAAAACTAATAACAAATTATTATATAAGCAATTAATAAAGATAGAGTTTACAAAAACAACACATCATTAATCTATTCTACCGTGTGGTGCCGCATGCAAATTCGCAGAAATCTTCCATACAAAATACAAACTAAATAAATATTATAATGCTCTTGAGCCTATAGTTAATCTTTTTGTTCTAACCAATATTTGGTGTTGGTTTCTGTTTCAATCTACCAACTCGAATTTGTATATACAACAAAAAAGATGCACACTTCAAGCGTTCTATTGACCTAACTTTGAGACCGCAAAGCAACACGAATTATTGAAAGTGAAACTGATTTTTGGCAAAAATCATTTAATGATTAATGATATTTTCTTCAAAATGAAACCAATGAAACCTCAATGAAGTTATAAACATTCGTATGTTCATGAAAAACCAACATTGAAAACTTATACCGCCAGATACTTTTGCCAGATACTTTTTGTTTTATTGTTAATTACTAGGTGTTCAGTGTTTATGTTATGCTTTATGTTATGTGTATATCAAGTACTGATAGATATATTCATATCATATGTACAATACATATATGGTAACAAGCAGAAGTACATATTTATAAATTTCATCATATATTGAACATTTCTCGTCTGGCTTTTGGATTCTTTAATTAAAATAAAAGTTGCTCTGCAAGCCGGCAAATGCTCTGTTCTGTTATTATGAATATATTATAAATAAATTAGAAATTATATTTAGATAAAAGTCTAACATATACGCACATTTTTAAATTTTTTTATCACAAAAATAGTTATTTAATATGCGCATTTTAATATTATATATGTAGAGTTATAATCTAAAGAACTATAATTACTTTTTGATTAATATAATTAAAATAATTAATTAAAATAAATAGAAATACGACAAAACATTTATTACATATATATGTATATATATGTGATATATATACATACATACCCGTTGTGACCAGATAACGGGTATGGGTCTAAGGATTACGTTTAATCAAAGTTTTCACTAAATGGAGCGATGGTTGCCATTGTGTACGATGATTGTGGTACTACCATATTGAAACCAAATGGAAATTTACACAATTTTGAAAGCAAGAAAGCGTTTAATATGGTTCGATATGCGGTGTTATTAACGATGACACTTGTATTTTTTGTAATTTTTAAAAAAATACCGGTCCGTAAACAATACCGAATAGTGAAATTTTTAGAGTGCATCTCCTTTGGTTCTTTGGCTACTCCAAATGTGATCATTTCTTAATTGAAGTGATCAGTGGACTTATATTGTAGCACTCTGTAAGCTATATTTGCAGAATATTTATATTACATTCACATCTAAATAATTAAAGATTAATTATCAACTGCGTTAGTATTAAAAGAACACATTATATAGCAACTGTTCTATTCTATTGTTATGAAAATGTTAGAAAAAAGTTTGATAAATATTAAAAATTATATTTGGATTAAAAGTATAACAAATGCACACCTTTGTTCATCTTGTTTTTAGAAAAATAATTGTTTGATTTGATTTAATATTATACGCACAAAGTTATTTGAAAAACTTAGATCTCTAAGAGATAAATATGACATATATTTATCTGGGTTTACTAATATATATCGTTCATCATTAAGTTTAGATAAATGTAGATAAGTTTATATCATTTGTAATCTCTTCTTTTCTGTATTATAATTTATGTAGGATTATTATAATTATCCCATCTTATTCATTAGATTATATTCGATTTATATCGAGTTCAGTGTATCCTTCTCTAAAATCTATATTCTTCTTTCTTTAATTCACAATACTATACTGTAGAAAATTTTTGTTTCAATTTTGTCAATAAAACATTTATAATTTATTTATATTTAATTAAAACTAATTAACAAAAACTTTCAGTCATGTTACTTAATTAAGCAACTGGAATATGTGCTCCTTGTGGTTGGAAACCATTTTCGTCAGCAACATAGTTGACTTGGTAAGTAACACCATCGTCACCGACGTATGAGTAAGATCCATGTACAGAAATGGCTTCATCATCAGTACCGATATTTTTCAATTGTCCTTCTTCTTGGAAAGATTTGCCATCGCTAGTTTGAACTCTGTAATATTTATAAGAAGAGAAATGTCTTTTAGTTATTTACTTTCTTCAGAGACTGACTACGTCTGAACTTACGCGAAATTGTAGTTGTGTGGTTCGACGTTTGAGTCATAACGCAAAGTTTCGGCATCGCGATTTGGTGCAGCCAAAGCGAAGGCGAAGAGAGCAACGAATACGATAATGAACTTCATGTTGAATTTAAATGTTTTTTATGTTTTTGGTATTGTCAGTGTCGAATGTGCTTAAAGGTCGAGTGCTGTAAACCCAATGAATGACAACTCAGCGAGTGCGCGCCTATTTATAATAGACAAAATTAAAGTCGATTTGCATTGGCATTATTTGTCTTAATAGCAGATTTTTCGGTGCAATGTTGTAATCCAACATTTAGCAGAGTTTCTTGTTTTTATTTTAGGTTTCTTTATTGTGGGAACTTGTTTAACAAACGCTAGACGCTAGACACTAAACACTAAACGCTGTACGCTAATTTTCATATGAAATTGCACAATCGAACTATTTTTCGGGGTTAAAGACAAAATTAAAAATTGCAAATTTTATGTTTTATTTTTGATTGGCTTTATTCACTGCTCCGGCGTGAAGTTTATTGATCTCGTTGGCATAAATTGAATATTTCAAACTAATGTGCATTAATTATGCAGCTAATCAGATATCATTATCTTTATGCTTTTTACTTTATATTTACAATCGGCTTACTTCTGTATATAATGAAGGTGGAAGCGAGAAATTACAAACATAAACTCAACGTCTATCAACATAGCAACATTTATTCGCTCCACTTTACGTTTTTAATAAATTATAAAAAATGAAATTCGTCATTGTCCTTGCTGCTCTCTTCGCCTGCGCTTTGGCTGCACCAAATCGCGATGCTGAGACTTTACGTTATGACTCCAATGTCGAACCACACAACTACAATTTCGCGTAAGTTCAGACGCAGTCAGTCTCTGTACCCAGTAAACAACTAACAAATATTTCTATTCTTAAATATTACAGAGTTCAAACTAGCGATGGCAAATCTTTCCAAGAAGAAGGACAATTGAAAAATATCGGTACTGATGATGAAGCCATTTCTGTACATGGATCTTACTCATACGTCGGTGACGATGGTGTTACTTACCAAGTCAACTATGTTGCTGACGAAAATGGTTTCCAACCACAAGGAGCACATATTCCAGTTGCTTAAATTAAGCAAAGTCATTCATCTTTAGCTTTAGTGTTGATAGTTATAGTTTAAAAAAATTAATAAATTAAAAATTAAGTACAAAAAAGAAATGAAGTCTTTTTTTATTTCTCAACAAATTAATATATACTATATTTTATGGTTTTATGGTCAGCTTATAAACTAAATAATTAATAGGGAGTAAAAAGATTTTAAATTTTAATTAATTAATTAATAACATATATTAAATGAGCACTTGAGGGATTTCTTCAGACAGCGTTTAAATGAAAACAGCAGAGAAACAAATGTCCTTACTTGGTAAGTTAAAAATGAATAGCGAAATAAAAAAAACAAAAATTGATTTTTAAAAGTAATATGCCTAATATTGTGAGCGATGCTTTTTTTATTCGATTGGGCGAGTTAAGTGTTCCTTTTTATGTGGTCCTTAATATTTGATATATGGACAACATTCATCCATAGGCTCACAACAAACCATTGACGACCGTCACTCTAACCTAACTGACGACTAATCTTAAAACTTTTCCGATCACTGAGATAAGCTGAGATAAGTTATATTGACTATACTGAGTGTCACTGTCAAGCATAAAATGTGCGACAGAGAAGGATTGGGAAAGTATAATGAGAGCTATGTAAATGATAATACTTGATAGCCTACAAGAAAAATAGAAAAAAGTGGTGATTTTGACTAATGGAAAACATATAATGCAATAACTGAAGTGGTAACAAGAAAAAAGCAAAAGATATGTCTTCTGAAAGAAAATCTGAATACTACGCGTTGAGTTTTGCGAAAGATTAATTGCGGCTCAATATGACAAAATATCTAAATATTGGTGCAAACAGGGAAAAATGGTTGTTGAATGAAACTTTTAGTAATTTTGTAGACCAGGACTCCCTTATCAAATCCGTTAATGTTAATCAGGAAAATAATAATAAAAAAAGGTTTAGCGCAAATATTTTTTTTTTTTTTTTTTTTTTTTTTATTATAAATTGTTTTATTATTATATATGATTTTAAAGAACAATAAATAAAACAAAACAAGACATAAAGCAACTAGTTATTAGATAACTAACAAGCAATTTAAATTTAAATAAATTAGGCGATTCCACGCAATAATAAATTAATTGTACTATATTTCAATGATTTAAGCCCAAAGATCGCACGGCTTTCGGCGCTTTAGACGGCGTATTGGCTCAGTTGTCGCTAGTAAATGCGCCTCAGCATTTATGTGACAACTAAGTCTATCTTGGTGTGATTTGGCTTTGGTATGAATTTCTTCCTGTACTGTTGTCACTCCAAGGTCACGATGTAAATCAGAATTTCTCACGTACCATGGCGCGTTTGTTACACTCCGTAGCATGAAATTTTGGAATCTTTGGATGATGGAAATTTGTGTTCTGCTTGCGCAACCCCATAGCTGTATTCCATATGTCCAGATTGGCTGGAGCATTTGTTTGTATAATACAAGTTTATTGAAAAGCGATAGTTTTGATTTTTTGCCGATTAACCATTTCAACGATTTGAATTTAAGATCTAATTCACTTCTTTTCTTTTTTATGTGCTCGCTCCATCTTAGTTTAGCGTCCAAAGTCATACCCAAGTATTTCGCAGTATTCGCGTGAGGCAGTATTAGCGTATAACTGATGTTTCGATTTGTGAAATTTACATGCACTGATTTTTCTTTATTCAGATTAATTTTCCATTTTTTTGTCCAAGCAATTATACTGTCCAAACTATTTTGCAAATTATTAGCTGCTATTACTGCGCTTTCTCCAACTGCAAGGACTGCAGTATCATCAGCAAAAGTTGCTGTGAACGTTGTTGCACTCGTTGGCAAGTCGTGTGTATAAATCAGATATAAGAGGACCCAAGACACTACCTTGCGGAACTCCAGCGTTAATTTTATGCAGTTTACTATAGGTATCACCGTGCTTTACTCGAAAGTAACGATCAGATAAGTAAGAGGAGATTATGTCATAATACTCCATTTCCAGAGAGAATAGTTGGTAGCACGATCATTACTTAAGTTAGATAGGTAGTAGTTGAATTGATTATTTTTAAATTGCTTGATTTTTAGGCTGAGTTCTTTTGCAAGTCTGTTAAGAATGGCTTTGTCTGCTGGAAATCTGGATTGCTGCCACTTTTTCCGCATCTTTCTTTTTTCCCGCATAAGATCCACAATGACTTTTGGGTATTTATGAGGATAGGTTGCATTCCTTAATGTGGGCGTGCTGCACCATGCCGCATGTTGTAGTAAATTTGTAAGGTTCAAAATTTCGCTTTCAAGATCATTTTCTTCACAAATTTCTTTTGAAGTAATGGTGTTTTCATTAAGGATTCTTCTGAAGTAACTCCAATCTGTATATTTATTTTCAAGTTTTAGACATTTTTTATTTATTAAGGCAGATTCGAAGAGGGTTATGTAGAGAGGGGAATGGTCGGAGCTTAGTTCTACTCCATCTGTTATTTTTAAATTGTAGGACGAAATTTGCTTGGTTATAAAGAAATCGAGTAGATCAGGCACCTTTGTTGGGTCAGTTGGCCAATAGGTTGGGTTCCCGGATGACAAGCATTCGCAGCCAGTTTGCTGTATAGCTTTGAGGAGTTCTCTACCTTTCGTTGTAATTAAGCGAGAGCCCCAATGCGTATGTTTAGCGTTGAAATCGCCACCCATAATGAAGCGATGCTTATGAGTTTCTATAAGATCTTTGTATTGTTCGGATTTAATTGAATGTCTTGGAGGACTGTATACCGATGTTAGTAGTAATTTGCTTTGTAAGTCAAGGACAACAGTTATTGCCTGGAATTCCTCTTTGGATATTTTTGTAGACTCGTAATGTTTTAATGATTTTTTAATTAAAATAGCACTTCCTCCGCGAGCGCAATTACTAGGATGGACTGCGCTATATACTTCGTAATTCTTTAGTTTAACATATGTTTGGTTAGTAAAATGAGTTTCGCTAATTAAGCAAACATCAACATCTTTGACTGATAGGACTGTTTCAAGCTCTCTAAGGTGTTGAAGAAGACCGTTCGAGTTCCATAGCATTATTTTTATATAACTAAGCATTATTTGTTTTGTTGAGTTTTTGCTCTAGCCTAGTCAAGCGTTTGTCCAATGCTTTATAAAAGTTTTCTTGAGTAGTGATTTTTTCCAGTATTTGTGTTAGTATTTTGTAATTACCATCGTCCTCAGTGTTGGATTGAACTACATCCGAATATGTTTTTTTATTATTCAGCGATTTTGGGTTTATATTTAGAACATCAGTTTGATTATTTTCAGGTTGGTTTTCAGCCGATATATGATTACGCTGTTTACCTTTGTTTTGTTCACCAATTTTTTTGTTTCTCAATTTTTGAAGTTCTTTGGCTACTGAACACATGTTACAATATTTTCAATAGTAATATTTCCTACATTGCAAAAGACATGTGCAAGCAATATTGTCAATGCACTCTAATAATAACTTTGACGTTTGACCTAAATGAGCAAACGGTGTAGTCGCTATGCAATGCATTCTGCAAGGTCAGCAATCATTTTGATTGGCTGCGGTTATACTTTTCCAGGTTTTGTCTTGAATAAAGAGGCGGAGTCATGAGATCGCTATAATCTAGAAAAATGTATAAATACCCAAACTATTGTTCAATAAAATCAAGAATATACTTATGACTGCAGAAATATATGCGTTGTTGAATTTATTCTCACTCCTTCTGGCCAAGTAACACTGGCCTAGGTACCAGCAGTAATAATCCGCTTGATAACTTGTTCTTGATTGCATCAGTAGGTTTAGGATGCATGCTCGTATCAGGCAGGGATAATTACACGCACTCACAAGACAAGTATTACGTCTCATTTATCTCACGATCCTGTCTACATCTGAACGGGTAAACACATTACATGGTGATCCAGCCAGTACATTGATTGAATATTGCCCATACATCCATTCATTCATTACATGGCGATCCTGCCATTCATTACACTAGTTCCATTACAAGGAAGTT